ATGAAAACAAGATATCTCTGGTTAAAAAGATTCATTATTTATTTTTAAAGCACTCGCGTACACAAATAACAAAAAAATGTAGGTTTCAAAAAAAATGAAAAGCTTACAAGTACTTAAGGAAGAAGAATAATGCATGTATTTAATTTTTAAATATTCAAATATACAAAAATAATTTGAAATATTCTAAAACAATGTTAATAAATTAATTTCTTTTTATTGTTCTATCATTTTTATAGTATTCTAGATAGTCGGTTCAGACGGACGAAATTTTTTAAATTTAGAAGCTATTAAAGCTTTTTTACCAGTATAACACCATTCGTTCAATCATATATCTAATCAATCATATATATATATATATATATATATATATATAATAAAAGAATATTTTCTATTATTGAATACTAATAAAAATACTATGAACTTTTTTCTAATTACATTTGCGAAATAAAATATTTATTTTTATCTATTTATTTAGAAGTAGTTAATGTTTTAGGTCGATAAATTATAATAACAATATTATCAATTTTCGAAGCTTTTTTTAATATAACATTGTGGAATTATGTATTATGTAATTTATAATTTTTTTTCCCTTTAAAATACAAAATCTTTCTTCCTCTCTATTGACTTTAAAGGCATAGAAAATCAATGGTTTCGCATTCAACGTATTAAACTTCTTAGAACACATCATCAATTATTAAGACTTCTAAATATTATTTTTGCAATATAGTTTCAAGTATTTAATAATCGTATGTAATTATCATTGACCTCTATAAAACATATATCTACATGATAATTGAAACATACTCGCAACCAATATTCGCTTGCCAAGTGAATGTTATCCCAAAAGTATCTAAAGGTTGCGCGTTAGTTGCTCGATCACGATGATCGGAATAAAGATTTAAAGTCATGAAAGAATAATGATACTAGTATGATTTAAATAGATGAATAAAGCGAGAGCGAGAGAGAGAGAGAGAGAGAGAGAGAGAGAGAGCGAAGAGTTGGAGTTGAGGAAAATTGTTTGATCGTAAAGAGAATAAAAAATGCGGAATCATCACCAACTGTCATATAAGACTTTTGAATTATCTAAAGCTAAAACATTAATTTTTCTCCACGAGTTAATAACAATAACTTCTCTCCTGCATATCCTAATTAAGCAACAATTCACGCAAGACTTTGGTAGCGTCTCTTTAAGATTCATTTTAATTAAAGCTCACTTTAAGTCGATGAGCGTATGCTCTTTTTTATAGTTTTGAAGCGCTGTGGCTTATCCGAGAGACAATGTATCTCTGACACAGGAAATTTGCATTGATTTGGGTATATACTTACAGTCCGTGAAATATCAAAAATGTATGATCGATATTAAAGGTGGATTATTGATGTATTTAAAAAGACATTGTAAACTTGTATCAGTAAATTATTAGATTTATAAAACCAATGGCATAAAAAAAAAACATTTGTTTATATTATAAGGCATCAATAAATATTTCAGTTTGTTTTTGTACTTTGATACATTTACTTCAATAAAGCATATATCGTTTAGCTCAAAATCGTATAAAAACGTTTATTTAAAAAATTCATATTTAAATCTAATGAGAACGAGTTAATGAAAAATGTAATATTAGCTCATATGCAAATGTTATAAAAGAAAAGGTTTGTTTTCTCGTGTTAAGCAAAAAAAAAAACTACTTCTCAAAACAAAAATAAATTTTTAATATAATTTAAAGTATCTTTACAGTACAATAAGTGCAATACAGGACAATAAGTAGTTTCAATATAACAAGAATAATTTTAAATCCTCATATTTATAACCATAATGTTAGATAAACTACATTTATGTATCGAACCCTTTTTAAAATAAAACTAAATTCATAAAAATTAAGTTTTTAACTTTAATTAAAAAATGAAAGATCTAATTTGGAAAAACAAAACGATATTACGATCAATCTTCATTATTATAAGAATAAGAATAATAATAAGAATAAAAAGTAAATAAGATATTAACTATAATATAGTAGTATTGGTATGGTAAAATACTATATCTCACGTATTTAGAACTAATTTTAAATATTTAAAAAATACATAAATATAAGGATACATAATAAAAATCATGTTTTAAAAAATAATTCTATAAATTAATCAATTCAGAATTAGAAATATTATGCAGAAAAACAATTGTCGATATAAGCTGTGCTAATATTAATAAAATAAGGGATATAATTAATATAAAAATTATTAACTATATCACAGTTGCCTATTAGATTTTTCACAAACAAAATATTGCGGTGATATGTGCACTTGCGTGCATACATGGCTAGTATTCGTAATTGTCGCTACTAATAATTATTAATGTAATTGTTAAAATTGAATTAATTCAATAATATTACAACAATTATGAAAACATAATTAATTGATATTAATACATATTTCATTTAAAAAAAAAAAAAAAAAAAAAAAAAAAAAAAAAAAAAAAAAAAAAAAAAAAAAAAACCATAGTTTTATTATATGCGATAAACTTTCTGAAATAATTATTTTATTAAATAATGAGTGCAAGCATACACAATGTTTTATAGACATTTATTTCTATAAGCATTTACTGCACTAAAAATATATATTAATCTACATTCCAATAAATTTATTTATAAATTTAAATTTTTATTTATAAAAGCAAATTTTATAGCATTAAAAACATTAAAAAATATAATACATACATCCAAATATTTGTTAAAAATATGGAATAAAATGAAATGATCGAATCTATTATTAATGAATAACATATGAATAATATACTTGAAATGAATCAGTATTACAAAATAATTAGATTAATGTTACAAGCCTCATTACATAAATTAGTCGTAAATTATTTTTTACACTTTTAATGTCAATGTGTTTTAGAAATTTTCAATTATTAACGTTCGTTTAAAATTTTAAAAACTAATTTAAATTGGACCGCTCTTAAATTTTCGTCTCAAATTTTTATTACAAATTACATGATCGATGTAGTACATTTGTTCCTGAATAAATTGCAATTTAGTTTTTAAAATTTTCATTTTTTCCTGATGTACTTCAGCCGCAAAATCCAATTGCATTTTGTAAAGTTTCATTTTCTTCTCGTGTTCTTTTCGTTTTAATTCAAGTTCTTCGTGAGATTGTACTTCAAAGGTTTTTAAGAGTTCTATATCAAAATCATTTAGATCTAAGGGACGCTTTCTTATGTCTACTACATCTTGATCATCATAAACAGTAGTATTAAATACATCATTATCGTGTAATAAATAATCATCAAAATTTTCAATATTAAATAATTCACTAAAAAATTATTTTAATAACTTTTTTTAACGATACGAAATACACCGATTTTTCAACATTATCTTACTTACCCATTTATATTTACGTACTGTATTTCATCTTTATTGTAATCTTTAATATCATTTTTTACTTCAAAATCATCCTGTAAAAGATTATTAAATCCAAAATGATTAATTAACTGTCATTAAAATATCTATCCATTTATTTTTATTTATTTATTAAAAATTATCGAAATTTAATGTTTATTGTGAGGGAATTAAAGTAATTCTGCATAACCGTTATTATCATTTTTTTTTTTTTCTTTCACTTTCATTGTAATATTAATTTCTTAACTACAAAAATCTAAAAATTATTTGTTTTAGCCACGGCACTAGTGACAGCGATTGAGGGAAGTGTAAAAATGCAGTTCTCAGTAAATATTAAAATGAAATATTTCAATGGGGCAAATAATTAAAATAGACATATTGAAAAAAATTAATACGGACCACAATGTCGAAATTTTCCACACTATTCTTACTGTCGTTATGTTCTTCTTCATTTTTGTCTTTTAAAATGATCGAGTTATTATCGTCCTTCTGCCATTCAATATATGCGTCACGAATCTCTTTCCAATCGTGATTTATCTCGTAGCCCAACTCTTGCCATTTTTCCTCGTTTTCCAGTATCTTTGTATCCAAGGAATTTTTCATAATAAAAAGCAATATATGTTTTTTTTCTTCAAGTGAAAAACTCGACATAATTTTATTGATTTTATAAGGTACGAACTTTTCAAGTGAACTCAATTACACGAGAAGTTCGAGACAGAATAAAAAAAAAACCGTTAATAAATACTTACAAAGTAGAATAAGAATATTTGTTGTGTGTGTGTGCGTGCGCATATATATTAAATATATATATATATATAAACACGCGCGCGCGCGCGCTAACTTCATGTCGTAAAAATTTTATTTCGTCTTTCCGCAATTAAAGTTAAATTACTACTAAATTACCACTAATTAAGTTAAATATCCATACATATAGATATTATGCTATAAATAGTCCTATTTAATTTACAAAATCTTTTATTGTTCCCATTTATACAAGTAAGGTTTATTTTACATTTAACGACTTAAAATTGGAACCTTTTGATCAAATACATACACACGATAGTTTATTTGTTGAGGTGCGAGGGATGAGCAGAAATTTGTTAATTTGAGAGAAGACATGAATTTGAAGAATTAGACAGTGATAAATTTAGTCACAAGGCGTCGCTTTGATCGTTGCAATTGTACAGAGGCGAAATTGGTAAACAGAATCCGGTTTTCGACCGCCGTATTACACTAATAATGTAATGTAAATACATGCATATGCGCATTATTGTATACGCGCATGTACGCATGTGCACATGTATATATAATAATGGGAGCGCTCGTGCGTATGCGCGTATAACACTCCATTGGACACATTTAACTATCTAACAATATTGCAAGAACAATCTTGAAGGAAAAAAAAAATATGTAATCATATCGTTTTCTCAAAGCCGTCAATGCACTATGTGTGCATGCAATTTTACTGTTTATTCAATTAATAATGCGATTAGGCTATTAAATGGCTTAAACCCTAAACAGTCCACCGTAATCTAATTGAGCATTCGAGCGACGAATGCTGTTTTAAACGAATTAGCCGTAAATATAAGACGTCTCTACAAAGTAATTTTATTACAACGGTATAAGTATCTTAGATTCTATACTTCTTCTCTCACGCATACAATGCAGAGAACATAAAAATTATTAAAAAACAGAAGGAAAAACGACGAATGATCTTTCGCTCTGCTTTGCAGTGGTGCTTGCTACATATTTCATACGGTCAATGGATATTAATGCATACTGTGCAATTTTTTCTCTCAAGTGTTGGCTTTTGCAAAGTGTATCCGAAGTCCAGACCTTTCTCCTTTTCCACCTACACGCAAATATTTTTACATACTTGCGTTGCAGAACTTTGCAAAAAAAGAGAAAACCTGCGGTAGTTAATTGACGTTCTCTTGTGTGGGTGATCTGGAATATCAATTGTCAAACTTTCATTACAAAGTTAAAATATTATCTTGAAGCTTTTTCATTTATCTGGCAATTTATAGCTTTATAAAGCTTAGCTAAATAAAATGAAAAGAATAAAGTTATTGTTAATTGCTTAAGACGACATGGGAAGAAATGGTCAGTTATTGAGGTTACAAAAGTGCGCAAGAATAATCTGCGAAGCCCTAATACAGTTCGTTGCTATGCTGTGAAGAAACTTTAATTTTTACTTCTATTCCATTATAAGTGTGAAAGTCTTATTGAAACTAAAACTGGTAAGCTCCATATTTAAATTTTATTTAATTTTAAATTTAAATTTAGCAAGTTACTTCATATTTGAGTTAAGCCTATTTAATCCATTTTCATACTATTTTAGATAAAGCTGACTATGTATGAAAATAGCTAGACAACGAGAAGCTGGAAATTGTAAGAATGCATTTTTCTGTGCCAGATACGCAAGAACTTATCGACGAAGCTGGCAATGCATATTTGGTAATTTTTATATCACTGAGCTTTCAGGTCTTTTTATATATTAATATAAATAATTTAGTAATTTAATTCTTATTACATTTTTAGTTAACCATATATCGATATTTTAAATGAATGAAATTAAGCCATAAGACTTATAAAGTCAATTTCAACTTAAAATTATAATTAAAAAAAATTGTAATACTTTGTTTATTAATTATAAAATTATTATTATAGGGTTATAATGTGCATATCAATGGTTTATTTCATTGTACCGTCAGATACAAACAGCTTCATAATCTCCACGAACAGTTGACAAAGGATTTGGAAGTACCTTTACCATCTTTTCCTCCAAAGAAATTTTTTCCTTTAACAATCAATCAACAAGAAGATCGACGATTATCGTTAGATAAATATATTCAAACAATTGGTCAAAATACAAATATTAATAATTCTGAGCTTCTAAACGGTTTTCTACTGAGTGCTCAGTTAGAGAGCGCTGCAGGCTTGATTAAAGATGATAATATTGATATCTTCCTGTTAAATGGTACGAAAATTAATCTTGATGTTTCGATAGCCGAAAATTCTGGTCATATTTTAAAGGTAAAATTTAATCCAATATTACCTTTAACTTTAACGAAAACATTCCATCAAATTCTGTTTTCTATTACAGAAAGTATGCAAGCAAATTAAATTGGATGAACGATTTTGTCCATATTTTTCGTTATTTATTGTTTTTCAAGATGGAGATAATTTCATTGGTAGATATTTGTTTATGTAAAGTAGTAATTTTGTTAACCTTGTACTTATATTTTCATATATTTAACTATTTAGTTCTACGAAAACTTCAAGATTTTGAATCGCCTATTATCACCCAAAAAAATATACATAAAGTTGGCACTAAAATAATATTAGGAAAATGGTATTGGGATGTTGGATTTGATTTAGAATTAGTTAATGATTCGGTAGCTTTAAATTTATTACATATCCAAGCAATGGCTGAAATAGAAAGAGGTTGGATTCCTACGACAAAAGAACTTAAGTATCGTTTGAATAATTTACAAGAGCATAATAAAAAAGAAGTAAGTTTATTAATGCTAATACACTGTACTTTTCTGCAGAAAACCAGTACCGTAATCATTACCATCGTAGCAAATAATATACTAGTAAATAAAAATAAAAAAAAATATTACTTCAACGAATAAACTATTTACATGAAAAAATTGTCATTTTTTGATGAATATTTTTTATAATGTATTGATTTTTCTATAATTATGAATTATCACTTTAAAAAGTATTCATGTTGAGATTTAATTTCAGTATTTAGAAATTGTTCAATCGTTAAAATACTATGGTTATATTCAATTTGCACCTTGCCAATGTGATTATCCAGAAACTGGTTCAAAAGTTTTAGTATCTATTGGAAAAAATGAATTAAACATAAGAATTTCTTCAATTGAGAATGCAGAAGAAGAAATTGGATTTAAAGTTACTAGAATGCGTTGTTGGCGCATTACAACACTTCACGAGGTAAAATTACGTGTTTAAATACTTGTAGAGCTTGATAGTTTTCAATTTTGATCAGTATCTTCAAAATTTTAAATGTTTTTTAATTTCCTTGATGAATTTTTGTTTAGTATTACCATGTGTTATTATTGAAATAATATATTTAATATTAAGTTACGATTTATATACGTATGTGTGTGTGTGTGTGTGTGTGGTAGGGAAGTGACAGACACGAAGAAACATCTGACTGCAGTCTTGAATTATCATTTGAATATTTAATGGCGAAAGATCATTTACAGTGGATAACAATTTCTTCAGAACAAGCTATATTAATGTCTGTATGCCTACAATCGATGATCGATGAGCTTTTATTAAAAAATGTTGGAGGCATTAAAAATCAAGTAGAAACTGGAAAGACATGGACGTATATTACAAGAGATGGTCATAGTCGAACTGTCATAGGTTCTTTATCAGCAGAAACTTTCAACAGAAACTTGAAAGTCGGTTAAGTTCTTTTTACCCTGGTAAAAATTATATATGGCAAAAAGTTTTATAAAAAATTTTTATTTTTATAGGAAAATGATATCAATACTTGTGTAAAAACAGAGCCAATTATTAAAAAAATCACAGATAGGTTTTCTGCTACAAAAGTTAGAAAACCAATGTTGGTCAAACCATCTATGTACCAAGAACAAAGGCATAATATTGACGGAGATTTATTAGAAAACAATGCATTTTGTATGATAGGCGATGATGATCTATAAAAAAGAACTATAGATTACTTCACAATTCCATACTAGTTATTTATATACTTTTTCATAAATTTAAATTATGAAGTTAATAAAATTTGATATAATGGTTTTAATTGAGCTTTAATTAAGCTACTAATGATACTAAAATTTTAATTATTTAAAAACGAATGAGTAAAATATAAACAAGTCAAAAATGTTAACTCAAACAGTAATTACACATTAAGAAATTGATAATCAAAACTTATTAATAATATATAATATTTTTACATAAGTATAATAAAACGTCTCGAATTTTTTTGTAATTTTTATAATAGATGAAAATATTTTTTCGTATAAAATTGTTCTGATTAAAATAAACATATAATAAAGCTAATCGAATTATTACGATGTGTGAAAAAAAAAATAAATACACCAGTGGCCAAATTATTTATATATACATATACGTATATATATATATATATATATATATATATATATACATACATATATACATATATTTATATTTATTTGTGCATCTACGCATGTATGTATGCATGTATATGCATGCATAAATGCATAAAGTAAAATTATATTTAAAAATGATGTGAAAGATACTCAGATCATTCGATACTTTTAGTGTTTGCGGTTGTACATAACAGTGCCTGGAAGTAGGGATCAGATTAAGAAAAGAATTGTTTCTTATATATTTAATCATAGAAGTTTAAAGAATATCGTACATTTTTTAATAATCATTCGATGTCGATAATTTAAATAGTAACCATATAATTAAAATTTTTTAATTCAAAAGTTTGAAAAAAATGTTTGATTTAAATAACTTATTTTATCTGAACTACCTCGCTTGTAAATAAAATATTCACTTCTGTGTTAATAACATGATGTAATTGTATTGTTACATACTTTCGAAATATGTCATGCATTTATCTTCGACATTGTGAGATTATAATGAAATAAAATTCCTGAAAGTAAGTCAATTAAGAAACAATTTTGGCATACATATCATGACAGTTTCAGTAGAAATTGTTAATTTCAATGTGATAGAGACACTGTATCATTATTTGTTAAACGAAATAAATGAAATTTTATACAACTTATTCAGAATTCAAAATTAAAATCTCTCGTGTAATATGTACTTCAGCACACAATTATGTGAATTATAAATGCGCATGCATGCTGAATAAAAATGAATTGTAACATATGATGCTATAACTGCCGCTTGTTGTATAAATCAAATATTAATAAATTTATATATTCTTATTTGTAAATTATGAATGCATTTATTTTAACATCCACTTTATATTAATTATCATAATCAGTAAATAAGGTTTAAGAAAAATAAATAATTTGCACAAAATGCATTACTATTTTATAATTTTTCATTCATTTTTTTTTTTTTTTGTTTTTTTTTTGTTTAAAGCAATTAGTTTCACAAAATTCTATATTTAATTAATGGTTGTTTGTTTTCTTCTTCTTCTTTTTTTTTTTTTTTTTATGTAATACAATGTTTGTCTTATTGACATTTTATAGATTTTTCGAAAATAAGTTGATACAATGTTCGACGTTTCATTTAATAAGTTTTATATAGAAACCTTATTGTAGATCGAGAAGGCGCATGGTTTATTCATTTCTATATCAAAAATATGTTATTATTTTATTACGATTGTTTTTCAAATGAATGTACGGTAAAGTTTCAGTTCTTGTTATAAATGCTCACACGACATACTTATATTTCTCTTATTTTTATTTTACTTTGTAAACGTTAAAAAAAAATTCAATTGTGTTCAATAATTTATCCACTCAATAAATCAAACAAAAAACAAAATCTAAATGTTAATTATAACACTAAATAATAATATATTATTATAATAAATCTATCACTGCGACTTTCTCGTTAAAAAAAAAAAAAAAAAAAATTTATAATAATATATACAACTAATGTTGTAACAATACCTCAAAAACACTTTATCTGCATGATTACACGTCGCATAAAATATACAAAATTCATCGTTGTATTCTTTACCATAAGATTTCTGTTTTTCTTTTATTGCGCTGATTTAACAATACGATTAATCTCAGACATTTTCGAATACATTTGTAACAAGGAAGACTAATACTAAAAAAATGTTTCGCTTTCGATAATTTCTGTTTATGCGCATGTTTTGTTCTTATGAAAGAATACAGTTGTTTCCTCGAAAATGAGGCGATACATTAATATACATCTACAAGAAAGACGTTCACACAGGGTTTACTCGCAAAAAAATTACATAAAAACAAAAAAATAAGTTAAGTGCGTAGTTGTCATTATTAGGCAAATTTCTTTACTATATATGGCGGTAGAAAGCGATTAATTCCCAATGCAATGTGTTCTTCTTTTCTATATTAAATTAAAGTAAGATTTTTCCCATTTAAGTTGATCAGTAAAAAAATACTTATATGGGAATTGTCTGGAGTTTAATGCCAACTTTTGAATACATCATTATAATTTGTTATAATTATCATTTGTATAAATAAAAGTTTGACGATTACTACTCCAGTATTAAATATACTCAGTATACAAACAAAATATTTGTTGTTTCGCTTTGTTTTTAATCTCACATTTTTCGCATTTCAATTAATTAATATTGAATAAATAAAATATATATTCACTATTCTCTATAATAGCGTATAATCTCAATATTCAAAATTTTAGATACTCTCAAAAGATTCTAAATATGTAAATGTCATCATCTTTCTAATGTTTTATTGGTTTCCCATTGTGACATAAGGTGCGCTTAAATACCTTTAAACGAAAGTATTACGGTACCTAAGTATTATAAAGCATATATTATATTATAAGAATTACAGCTTAATAATAATATAATTTAACTGAGCTAATCATTTGCATACAATTGTATAGCAATAAAATAAATAGCATATGATGCAAGAAGAAAGACAAATTTTAATTCAATCACCTACCCATCAATACTACCTAAATATAAGTTCTGATTTACTGGAATTTGAATTGAATTGAAATTCTTTGTTTTATAATTATTCTAAAAATCCCAGAGACAATTATTTTCAATCCTTGTATAAATATTTAAAATTCACGTCAATTTACAAATTATCTTGCATTAAAAAGTAATCATACACTTCAACGAACAATTTTTAAAATGAGAAGAAATTTTGCAATGGAAAGTTAACATCATCGACAAGGATTCGCCATTGTCGTTAGAATTCACATTTTCCATTTAAACGTAATATCAACCATAAAAACAAATAGTTGACTCTATCGCTTGATTTGATTTTTATTGAAAGAGATATTTATTAATCTAAAACAACTACGAAATTTTGTAACATTTATGGCACGATTTGAAATTATTATCCGAGTTTGTAGTAGAAGCTTAAGGATCAAAATGCAAAATTTTAAAACTTGAATTCGAAGTCCAAAGTGACTTACAATTAAATAAATTGAAGAAAATTATAAATAAAACATATTTCAATAGTAATTTTACATCGGTATGGCGAAACGTGTGTGCTGAATGGCTTGTAGTAAAGAAATTTTGATTAAATTAAATTAAATTTAAAATTATCGAAATTAAAGTTATAAATTATCACGAATGCAAACAAATAAAGAGTTCGAATCGATGGAATGTAATTCAAACGATTAGTTTAGAAAACTATAAAAAAAAGTAAGAAAAGTACCAATAACCCCTTATATTTCTCATTGCATTAGAATCAAGTGAAATTGGATAAGATCGAGTTGAAATATGCAGCAATTCATTAAATATAATACAGCAAACAATTTGGCAACGAATTTTTTATAATTAATAAATTAATTATTAATTTCAACATAGGAATATAAACTGAAATAGGTAAGTGATTTGATTCAATAATAGGAATTGTCCTATTTACATTCCTACTCGGCTCCAAGAAAGTAAATTTTGATATATATATAGTTTTTCCACCATTTCATCGTTTATTTAATTTTTACCTAATTACTCAAATAATTAACTTTAAACAGTTAAACTATTTACACTGTTACAATGACTTATAATACCCAGGGTACTCTTTATAAGTACTTTTTATAATATCTTGCGGATGGATTTTATAATACTCGTGAATGGCGGATTTTTAATCGCGCCTTACGCCATACCATATTTTAAATTGTTTTACAGTTAAATCAAAAGTTGGTATTAAACCAAAAGATTCATTCTTCTTTAGGTTTACTTTAATTTTAGACCCAACATGAACGCAATCGCGTAATATTTAAAAACAACATTGTTATTTGAGATAATATTATGTATATATCACCGAAATGCATTAAAGAAAATTCATTTAAATTATTGCTATAAAAAAGGCAATCTGATAAAAACCTAACGGCTCGACATATAAAATCTATCCTGATTTTTCAAAGACTTCCTTTCACATTAGGATTTTTCTTCTCGCCTCTATTATACTATAAATATTATAAAAAATTTTTTCGTGCAAAATTAGCAGTCTAGCTGTCATATATACATACGCATCGATATACATCAATGTGTTATTATTTTTTTCTCTAATCCGCTAAACGGCATTATATCAAGTATTATATTTCTATAAGAATAGTATATTTAACAATAACTACGTTCAAGTAATAAAAAATTAAGTATTATCGTAGTTCTTCTTATCTGAATCATGTAAAACAATTTACACTGGTGACGTGAAATTATTGGCTAGTATTCCTTTATATTCCTTTCATTCACTGATTTCGTAAGGAAAAAGCTTTATTAATATCTCAACGATATTGTTTTTTTTCTTGCGAAGTCAGAACTGTGATTATAGAATATCTATGTATTTATACATCTGTACACCATCGGATCTATCACACGCGTTTCATATTTAATTAAAAAGTTCCTAACCATTAAAAATTTTGTTGGCGCTTTCGTTTTGTATCCATGGCATCGAGGATAGGTTGTCTTTTAGTTTGATACCTTTTTTTCAATTCGTTTATTTCTTTCTCCAGTTCATCGTCAAGATTCTCCATTCTCTGTTGCAATTCTTCGAAAGAAAGAAACTTCAACTGTCAAAAAATGCATTAACTGTTATATTTCCAAAATAAACAATAACTGATTATAAAATAAAGGAAACAATAGTTATTGCTTACAAAATCAAATTCACGTTCATTAAATACATTTTGTATTTTTGATATGTTGTTAAGAGGCTGTTCTGGCATTGGATGTGAAATTTGATTTAATTGTAATTGTAAATGGCTTTGAAACCTCTGTGATTCTAATGGACTTTGTACTTCTGGTTTAGTTTCTAATTCAAGACTTTGTACCAAATGTATTTGACCGTTTCCCTAATAAAAAACATAAAAAAAAAAAAAAAAAAAAAAAAAAACAAACAAACAAACAAACAAAAACTTTAATTAAAGAACATTTACTTATTATTATTTAAACTCACTTTTTCCACTTCTGGTGATTCTTTTTTATCAAAATGGTCAAGAAATAAAGGACGATACTTTTTTCCTGATTCAACTGATCCAGTATTGTGCCCTGTTAAATAAATTATATCACTACTTAACTTGCGCCTTAAACAATTACCACTAACTTCTTTAATACGTACATGTAATTTTCAATAGTTAAAAAAAAATTTATAATTTATAATCTAATAATCGTTAAGTAGTTTTTTAATTGATGCAAAGAGATAAGAAAGTTAGATTTCACATACTTTTCATCGTTGCTTCGGTATCAGTATCACTATTTATAACCATTGTCCCTAAATCCAGCATAGCCGAAGTAAGTGTTCCTGTATCTAGAAGATCATGACTTGGAACCAATGTTCCTTGATCTTCCGGCAATGGTTTCATAGTTCCCGTACAATCGTCATCGTCCTTTAATTAAAATATATATTCTTTATAAGGATTTCCTAAAAAAGTATGCGTAAAAGTGAATGAGAGATTACCGAGTCATCGGCATTATTTTGTCCCTTAATCGCTACATTATTTATTATATGAGCACGATTAGTACTTTGTTTCTCTCGGATTTCATGTGCATCCGTGATCATTTGACTAAGAATACTTGGCTGTTTTGCGTTGCCTAAAATAATATCGTAAAAATTTAAATATAAAAATACAATCATAAAAATTTTTAAAGCGAACATTAAACGTCAGAAATGACCTATGAATTCGTGATTCAGTAATTCACTAGCAGTTGCTCTTTCCTCGGGATTTTTGACAAGGCACACACTAACAAAATCGATAAATTCTGGACTCCATTGATCAGGTTCTCTGAAACTAGGTGGTGGTTTTGTTGGAATCATAAAAATTGCTCGCATTGGATGAATATCACCATAAGGTGGCTTGCCTTCAGCCATTTCAAGAGCTGTTATACCGAGGGACCAAATATCTGCTACACAATCATATCCTATTTCTTGAATAACTTCTGGAGCCATCCAAAACGGAGTTCCAATAACTGTATTACGTTTTGCCATTGTATCCTATAGAAAATATAATTTACAAGTCTGTCACATTTATATTATAATGTTGAGTTTTATTCTCAAACATTCGTCATAATTCTTGTTTTAGGCTCCCCTAAAGCGCGAGATTAAACAAAATTAATGTTTAGAAAAATTCTCCTGCACTTACTGTTAATTGACCCGCAACACCAAAATCAGCTAACTTAGCGTGTCCTTCATTATTCAATAATATATTTCCCGCCTTAATGTCTCTGTGTATTTTTCTTCTTAAATGCAGATATTCCAAGCCTTTTAACGTATCACTTAAAATTGTAGCAATCTCGTCCTCTTGCAATGTTTTCTTTCTTAACCTCATAATATCACTAACAGATCCAGCACCACAATATTCCATTACAATCTATTAAAGCATAAAATTGTAACGTTAAAATCCATAGAGGAATACAATATTTAGAACGCATTGTCATATAAAATTTTAATTTTCCAATGATTCAACTACTTGTTAAATATGAATTCGTATATCGATTTATAAATATATTTTACAAATATATTTCATTGTATTGGCGTTGGTTTCTAATTTTAAAAATTATTTCTATAATAATATTGCTATATTATGAATGCATACCCATAAATCAGTATTTTTGAAATAGCTTCCATAATATTTGACTACATAAGGAGAATCACATTGCTGCATGATAGAAATTTCCTTAATAATTTCTTGAAGATCGGTATCGACAGGCACTTGCTTAATTGCAAGCACTTGACCACTTTCTTTATGTAATGCCTTATATACAGATCCATATGACCTACAATTAATAGAATATTAAGTTCATACTTGAGCATTCTATTATTATTATTATTATTATTATTATTATTATTATTATTATTATTATTATTATTATTATTATTATTATTATTATTATTATTATTATTATATCTATATTATATCTATAATATATTTCAAATTATCGTTTAAAACTATCAAATAGCAATAGAGGATGTTAATCTTGTATAGTAATTTAAAAATCAAACAATAGGGAAAACTTTAATACAGATATTAACAGAGGATAATTATACTTTTCATTATTTTAAATAGTATGCAAAATAAGTAATATTTTAATGTTAGTTGGCACGCATTTGGCAACAGACTAATTACTTTATCTATTTGTATTATATACTCACCCCTCTCCTAATTTACATATTATATCAAAGACTTCCTCTGGTTGTCTCGTTAAGCTCTCTTCTGATAACTTCTTAAGTTCGCTAACAATATCAAACATTGATTAATTATAAATTATTGTTAAATTTAAATTAATAAAAATAACCAAAGTATCATATAAAAAGTAAAACATAAAAAATAGCTGTTAATTTACACGACGTTTAAAAAGATATTTAATTCTAAAGCATCGAAAAACATAAATGCAAAGAAGATGTATTACAAAATTGAAAAATAAGCTTTGTATACACCATGAGGCGTTAATCCAAAGTATTCTTACTAATTAATCACCAATTGAAATGACCCACTCTCAGAATGACTTATTAATGCATAAAATGATTTGTCCTCCCTCTAAACAACTTACACAGTTTACTCTTGAAATTCGTTATAAATGGTAGGAAACTATATTGTTTTTATTAGAAGCTTTGAAAAATTTGTAATAATTATCGAACGACGTAAATAACCGGACAATAGAAAAATCAAAAGCTATGAAACATTCAGGTTTTTTTTCTTCTCTCTTTCTTTTTTTATTTTTTTGTTTTTGTTTTTGTTTTTGTTTTTTTCTTTTTTTCTTTCATTTAGAAGGTGAGAGAATAATGCAGGTTAACAAAGAGGAACTCGGTGGACGTAAAGAAATTCGCTTCCATCACGGGAAAGACGAGCATCTTTGACAAAGCAGTGTCGTCAATGGCATTTTTAAATTGGATATTCAAACTTACGCAATTATGAAATTCAATAGTCAAACGTATGTATTTACGGAACATGTCTCTTGGTATTAAAATAAAAGAAAAAAAAAAGGGAGAAGAAAGGGAAAATTAAGTACCTCTTAGAAGACATCTTCGCCTTTTACGTCAACACGTCGCCTCGCGAGGCAGCGCTCAATTTTCTTTCTCAAAAGCACATACAAAGCGCGACGCGAAGAGCCGACAGGCTCAAATGTTCGTCAGCGCAGAAATTTAATTTGACATTTTCGACGAATGTTGATTGATATATATATATTACATTTTTATATTGAATTGTAAATGCAATCAGAGAGGCCGAAACATTGAAAATCCAATCCGACCGTCGGTCATTATAGATGGCGGTTCGTCGTGCTCGCGTTCTCAAACACATCGGGGGTGGGACACGTCTCTTTTTGGTTATACAGGGCACATTTAAAATTAGACACTTGAAAACTTAAATAAGAAATACAAAAATTCAAATACGTTCAACCATTAAATCAGCGTGCTCCATTCAGCCGAACTTCTCCTCATTGAAAATCAATGGCCGCCTGCGACGAAAATTATCTTCCAATTCAGTCCGCTCTCTGTTTTATCGACTATAATATTTTATAATTCATGGGAGCGCTCACACGCGTCTGCATATTTATATATTAATAATATTTATCAGACCTGTCGTTGGATGATGCAGAATTGAAAATCTTAGGAATTTGTGGCTTTGAAGTGCCGTTGACGAACGGTCAAAATCAAGCAATTGTAATCAAAATTACGAGGGCATAACATTATTCATTGCGTAGCATCGTCAAAATTATTAGAAAGATTATTATAAGAAGGAGGAATTATTCGTTAAGTTTTGCGATATATTTCTCTTTCTCTGTCTCTTTCTCTTTCTCTGTCTCTTTCTCTTTCTCTTTCTCTTTCTCTTTCTCTGTCTCTTTCTCTTTCTCTGTCTCTTTCTCTTTCTCTGTCTCTTTCTCTTTCTCTGTCTCTTTCTCTTTCTCTGTCTCTTTCTCTTTCTCTGTCTCTTTCTCTTTCTCTGTCTCTTTCTCTTTCTCTGTCTCTTTCTCTTTCTCTGTCTCTTTCTCTTTCTCTTTCTCTTTCTCTTTCTCTTTCTATGTCTATTTCTATTTCTATTTCTATTTCTATTTTTACGTCTATTTTTATTCCTATTCCTACTCCTACGAATCCGATGTTACGGCTTAAAGTGCTGCACAGCACCGAAATCCAATTTGAAAGCGCGAAAGTGCCGAAATGGCGAATCGACGGAAAAATCATCGAGCGACACTCGCACGATTCTCGGTAAAAAAACAGTGTCAATGTAAAAAATAGTTCAGTCCCTTCCTCCAAGCTCCAAGCTCCAAAATCGCAAGGCGCCCATTATTAATGCAAAACGAATGTAAAACAAGACTCTGGCAGGCGTATTGTAGTAGTACCCTTTGTAGCAACCCAGTGACAGCCGATTAAAGACATTTAGATAATATATTGCAATGCGAGACCGACAGGCTCGAGGGCACGGGGTTTGGGCGCGAACCCGTGAAATTCGAAAATCGCCGACCGCTTGCACCGTCCCGAAACCATCCGCTCGGCCGTTTCATTCGATCCGCTGTTTGAATCGCCTATTTTCCCGCTTGTTCGTCACGTGTCCATTTAAAAATGGCTCCGCGCACACGACCCGGGATCGTGTGTGCCCCATTGGGCCGTGCCCACTCTACTTTAGGAACGCATTCCTCCAGTCTAGACTGCACGCAAATCGTAATATATACATACAGGCCCCGTCGCAGTCGCTGCATGCGCTTGGCTCGCTCGGGAGAGCGAGTAAACGGTGGCATCGACATCGGCATGCAGCCCCCGTCACCGTAAGGCGGCCCGAGCGAGAGAGCGGGAGGGAGGGAGCGAGAAACCCGAGAGTTCAGGGCACTCAGCACATCGTGCTCGTGGTGAATCGAGCCGCTGGGTCAACCCGCCCCTCTCCAATCCACTTGACTGCTCTCCTCCCCCTTCGCCGGCGCTCGCTCTCTCGCTCACTCGCTCATTCTCTCTTCTCGCCTCTCGCTACTCCCTCGTTGCTGCTCAACACACGCTACCGCCGCCGCCACCGCCGCCGCCGCTGCCGCTACCGCGCCGACATTATATTCCGACGAATGTATCTCTTTGCACCCACCCCTCCCCCACCGACCGCCGCTCGCTCAATATTACTCTCTCGCTCTCTCTCTCTCTCTCTCTCTCTCTCACTCTGTTTCTCTCTCACCCCCGCCCCTAATCCACCGTGACCATGTATTCCCCTCGCTCGCTGGTTAGTATACCTGCCTAATCTTCATTCCCTCTCTTTTTCTACTTTTCAGTCTTTTTCATCGTGCACTCTCTCTCCTTCGCTCACTCGCTCACTCTCTCTCTCTCTCTCTCTCACACACACACACACACACACACACACACACAGAGAGAGAGAGAGAGAGAGACACACACCTATTCTACATTATCTTCGTCTTATTTATTCCTCCCTTTCTTCTATTCTCTCACTCCTTTTTCTCTCTTTTCAACATCTCCTTTTTATTCCCAGCACTTGTTAAATCTCCTTTTTTCATCGCTTCTCTAGAAATTTTGTCTCCTCACCTCTCATATTTTTGCCATTTCTACTTCTCCTTATTGTTTTCTAAATTTCTAAAGCTCCTTTTTCGTAATTGACACAAGTCTCATTTCTATCTCGTGTAGTAGTAGTAGTAGTAGTAGTAGTAGTAGTAGTAGTAGTAGTAGTAGTAGTAGAAGTAGTAGTAGTAGTAGTACTAATTTCCTTAATACACGGAGATACTTAAGCACAAGTCTGTGCTTAAAAACAGCTTTTTTGTTTTATTTTTATCGTCTTGTTTTTGTTTATTAATTTTAAAAGATCCGCTTTTTCCTTTTAATTATTAATTTATTTAATAATACAATTATTCTTCGATAATAAACATGTAGATAGTAAAAACTTTTTCTCATTTATTTTTGCGACTTTATGCTGGTAATTTACTTGTTTTTTTTTTATTGTGGTTTTTTTTTTCAATTTAAACGCTATCGACATGTTCGTAAATTATTGAAACACAGAAGATGATAATTACATGGTTCACATGGCATAATATTACTTGAAACAACGATTTTTAAAAGAAAAAGTATATTGGCCATTAGTAGTTTGGATGAAATATGGATGAGATAGCGAACGATTTTGCATCAAATAACGAAAATTTGTAAATATATTTTTAAAAAATATTCTCTCCCGTTCACCCAAAAATACAAAATCTCTAAAATTCTAGCTTCTCTCATTAAATTCTAAACGTATGTAGAATAACTGTTAACGGTTAATTAACAATCATTCGGTCTGTTTCCACCATTTCGAATATTCAAATTCTGCAATATTTTACAAGATAATAAATTATACCCACTAATTATTCTATATTGCTTCGGACATTGTAAAAAGATTGCAATCTTTATGGAAATGAAGGAAAAAGTAATTTGATCAAAGAAAGATGAGATTTTCAAATTTCCATTCGTTCTGCAACATAGTGATTTCTCTTTTTCTGGATCTCTCTCTCTCTCTCTCTCTCTCTCATTTGTGGCTTCTTCTTCTCGAACTCCTACTACACATCACTTTAGTGGAGTCACGTACCGAAGAGGTAAGAGTATAACCCAGACAAGACGGTTAGAGCAGGTAAAATGGACCACCTCAATATTTGTTCAAATGAGCTGTTGTAAGAACAACCGATGACGCAATCTTATGATAATCAATTCTTGATGCGTTAACATTGATAAAGCCTAATGACCCTATGAAGAGGAAATAAAGATAAAAATGAACGTCTTCCGGCTACAATGTCATCCATTTTTTTTCTTTCATCGTCGACAAGCGCGTGACAATTCTTTTCAGCAATTTTAAGCAAAGCCAATGTTTCGCAAAGTGCCTCAATAGTCATTTGTGTTTTTTTATTTTTTTTTTTTTTTATTTATGGTACGGCCGAAACCAATCTGTACGAAATGAAGCGTTATATTTCCAAAGAAATAATAAGAATTCAAGTTTTCAATATATATATATATATATATATATATATATATATATATATATGCGTGCGTGTGCGTGTGTGCGCGTGTGCGTGTTTGTCTTCTCAAGTTCGAAATTGCTTGAGACGAGCATTAAAGCAGCAATTTATCATTTCGAGTCGTTAATTTCCCTATTTTAACAATGCTAACGTCACAATTGTACGTAAATATTATGAAACCATTAGAGCTTTCGAACTCGGAAATGACGTTCATTAATATTTATCTATTAATGCTTATAAGAGATTTTTTTTTTCCCAAATATATTTTGATGTTCATGAAACGTAACGAAAAATGATTTAAGTAAATAGTAAAATTACAAAAAAAAAAAAAACTTTGAGAATTTCGCTTACTCTGCGATATTATATGCCGTATTATATGATAAATTAGAAGATGCGGTCGAAGAAAAATGTATAGTCTGCTTTTCTCTTACCTCTTTCACCCTTTCTCCGATGCATCAATCTGTTTTGTTGCAGTATTAGGTCGAGAGTAGGAGGTAGGAGGCTGAGGCAAAAATCAACATCTTTGTATTCACTACGTTGAATTGCATATCGCGTACGTAAAAAAAAAAAATGTCTCTCAATAAATCTCTAACCGCCCGGATGGCAGTATTAAGTTAAGATTTTTTTTTTTTTTTTTTTTTTTAAATTCATTAAAATGCCTTAAATGAGAAGAAGGCTTTGCATTAAAATGAAGATTTTCCACGCGTCGATTGTTAGGAAATGCATTTGTTCGACTCAATCGCCGAAACTACGTAATTTGCGTGCACGATAATGGAAGGGAAAAGAAATATTTTAACGCGCGGCTTTATCCTTGCTGCTATCGTAATTCGTAATTGCACATTAAGGTGGTAATAAATAATTTGCTATTTAACCGATGGATAATAAATTTACGGCAATATAATAATCACGTCGTTTTTCGTCAAAACCCATTACAAAATTCACTTTACACATTTTGTGCTCAAGCTGTAGAAAAACTTTTTAAACAATACGTAAAGATAGAGGATCAGCAGTGCTCAATTCGTCCTTTGGATTATTAAAAAAATTAGCGCTGATTGGAATATAAACGTATTTCATAAACATCTTTTAAGTAATTATAAATAAATCGCGTAACGATTTCCCTGATTTATTATTAAACGACCCAACTATTAATGCTACTACTATTAGAGCTATTGAGAATACATATGTGCACTGTATGAAGTAGTGGTTATCGCCGATAACAACAATACGCAAATAAATAAACATTGTCGATGCTTTAATGGCATGAGAATTGAAATGGAATAAGAGATAATGGGCTGGCCTTGGTAAAGATAAATTTAGAGAGCTTTTATTCGTACGAATAACGATAGGGAAGGAAGGAAGGAACGACAGTTTATATCGCAAAGTAACTGGGCAAATGTTAGCTGCTAATGAAAATTGCAATGCCGGGATGCGGCCGAACGGAGCTGGCCGCTCCCGCGTGAAAATCTCTAAAAACTGACATATTCATCAGGACTGACTTCTCAGCTACGTGAGCATTGAAAAGTGATCGTAAATTTGTCAATTTTGGCGGAGGAAAGTGGTCCAGTTTTATGAACAAAGGCCGACTTTGTTTATGACAGGGAGTCGGACGGTGGAAGGCCGATGAAGGGTCCGATCCCTCGGGGCCCGCGGAGTACCCTGGCCAGCGGCGCCAGGAGCGCTTGCAAGGGTGAGACCGGGACTCACTCAGGAGGTGGTGGTGGCGGGTAACGGTGACGGCCACTCGATTTCAGGAGTGGGGGCCTGAGCGCCGCTACCACCGCCACCAGCGCTTAGAGCGCGCGAATCGAGCGAAAAAGAGCGACGGGCCAGTGTACGCCTCTCCGCGCTTCCTGGGATACTTCGGATGTCACGGCGGTGCTCCGTAGTCGTTTAACCATTCGAGGGTCCTCGCTTTCCCGCAAACGGTCGTCGCGCTCGAAACAGGTGGAACTAGAGGTGGTGTCGAGCCCTAGAGCACCCTAGAGCCACGGATGCACCCCTGCGATCTTTTCGCGTCCCGTCGCACATTCGCATATTCGTAGCCGCGGATATAAACACGCGCGCGCGCGCGCGCGATAATCGACAGGGGAGTAAAAGAAGAGGAGGAGGAGGAGGAGGAGGAGGAGGAGGAGGAGGAAGGAGGTGGTGGAGGAAACAGTCGACGGAAGGAGTGGTGGAAGCGACGGAGGAGTTGGTGGCGGAGGTAGCGGTGGTGGTGGCGGTGGAGGTGGCGGCGGTTAAGTAGTGGTGGTGGTGGTAGCGGCGTTGAAGGAGGAGGAGGTCGGGGCGGCGGTGGCGGCGCCACGAAGAATAGGTGGGGTTGAGAACAGGCTGAAAGCCGAAGTAAGCACACGTATGCGCGAGAGCGCGCACACGCACACGTATATCGCGAGTCTCTTCGTGGAGTCGACGACTCCTCGTTCTCTTCTTTCTCTTTCTCTTCGTTCTCTTTACGCTCGCTTCCCCTCCCGTGACGCCTTCCCCTTAACCCTACGGCGCACACACGCGAAGAGTCGGCCACGGAAACGGAGTCGGTGAAATAGAAGGAGAGAGCGAGAGAGAGACAGACAGACAGAGACAAACAGACAGAGACAGACACACAGAGAGAGAGAGAGAGAGAGAGACAGAGAGAGAGAGAGAGAGGCGCGCGCGCTCTTAGCCGCATCGACTCGTGCGTCTCCTCTCCTTTCCTCCTCCTCCACCACCACCTCCCTTCCACGCCCCCCACCGTCAATGTTCTCGCTCTCTCTCTCTCTCTCTCTCACTCTCTCTCGCGCGCACAAGTTCCCCGAAGTGCCGTCGACATTTTCCTCCGCGGGCCGCGACACGCATACGCGAGGGAGAGCCCGCGCGAGAGGGACCGCGTCGCACACCTCTACGGGCGTTCGTGTCGGTGGGCTTGTACGTGTGCCGAGGGCCATAGTGCGCGTGTGAGTGTCTAGAGATCGGCCCGCGTACCGTCGAGCCGTGGCTCGGGTAGCCGCCGACATCGAATCAGAATAGCCGACTCCTCCTCGGCCAGAGGTAATATTACTAATAATAATAACCAATAAATCAATAAATAATAAATGACAAGTAATAATAATAAGGGATAGTAAGAAGTAATTGTGAGGAGTAATGATAATAACAGCTATGTAAGTAGCTCTGATAGCGATTAATGCATGCGTGCGTCCCGACAGGCGGCGGAGCATATTTCGCTCGAGGGACTCGCCTCGATTGCCACTCGACGCAAGGAAAGAGCAAGAGAGAGAGAGAGAGAGAGAGAGAGAGAGAGAGAGAAAGAGGAGAGATAGAAACGGATGTGCCGCTCAGATGAATGAAAGGAGGCTGCAAGGTGCCACCACGGCTCTCTCGATTGTTCGGCCTCGGCGCGTATAAGACAGAGGTCCGCGCCGCTGCCACCGCCGCTGCCGCCGCCGCCGCCGCCGCCACCGCCGCCACCACCACCACCACCACCACCGCCGCCGCCGTCGCCGCCGCCACTGCCGCCGACGCCGCCGTCGCTGTCGTCAGGTGTATACGTAGCCGCCGAGAGTCGAGCAGGTAGCGCACTCGCGGCACCAACGACCAACGAGCGGGTGCGCGCGCGCGCGCGTTCACGGAGAAGAGGAGCGACGAAGAGCGGAGCGGCGAGGAGTGGCGAGAAGCGGAGCGGTGTGGAGCGGTAGAGGAGCAGAGAGGAGCGAAGAGCAAAGAGAAGAGGAGAGCCGAGAGGAGCGAAATACCTGCTGCAGGTAGACGAGCCGCGATAAACACACGGCCAATGAGATCTACGATCCCGTAGTCTCCGCTGCCTCTTCTCTCCTGCACCGAGGGAGAAAGAAAGCGAGAGGGAGCGAGAACGAAGTCGAGCCGTTGTCTCTCGCACACGCAAGTGTAGAAGGCATAAAAAGAGAGATAGAGCGATAGATAGAGAAGAGGGGGGAGAGAAGAGACAAGACGAATATAAAAAAGGTAGAGGAGGAAGAGAGCGAGTTCCTCGGCTCTGTGTACGTGCGCTGCAGTTGAGTGTATGTGCGCGAGCGAGAGGAGTCGTAGACGAGTCAGCAGAAACAACAGCAACAGTAACAGTAACAGCAATAACAACAGTATCAGTAACAGTAACAGCAACAGCAACAGCAACAGCAACAGCAACGATAACAATAACAGTAAAAGTAAAAGTAAATGTAAAAGTAACAGTAACAGTAACAGTAACAGCAACAGCAGCAGCAACAACAGCAACAGCAACAGCAATAGCAATAGCAATAACAATAGCAGCACACGGAAGCCCCGTGAAACTTGAAGACACTCGCGATAGTCAAGGGGAAAGAGGCGAGTCGAGTGAGAAGAAGAGGAAGAAGCAGAAGAAGAGGAAATAGCAGCAGAGGAGAGGTTGGAGTTGGAAGAAAAGTAGAAAGAGGAGGAAGAAGAAGAGGACGAACGAGAAGCTGAGCGGAGAGAGAGAGCGGCGGCGACTCTTCCCCGAGTCCCTTTCTTTCCTCTTTCTCCGTCGGCGTTGGGCGCGCGCGCGCGCGCGCTTGTGTCAGTGCATCCTCGTGCCCATCGACGAGCTTCTCCCCGACGCTTGAATAGGAGCGCCAGGCGCCGCGCACAAAATGGCGCTTAACCAGGACGTCGCGGACGTCGGAGCGACCGGCGGGGCCAAGAGTAACCTCGTCGTGCGTATAGACCAGAATTCCGAATCGGACCTACAAGCCCTTTTCGACACCGTCCTCAAGCCGGACTCGAAGCGACCCCTCCAGGTGCCATTACGCATGCGCAATCTGCCGGACTCCTTCTTCAACCCGCCCTCGACCGGCAGCAAGTCGCCCTCGATCTCGCACTCCCGCGAGAACTCGGCGGACTCGGCCTTCGGGGCGGGCGTCGCCGGCGTAGCCAATGGCTCTGGAGTTGGGGGTGCCACTAGCCCCGGTGCAGCCGCCGCCGCTGCAGCTGCAGCAGCCGCGGCTGCCGCGGCCGCAGCCCCCAGCGCTGCTCCCGCCGGTGCTGCCCAGGTTCCCCAAGGTCTCACGGTCGCGCACCCCCGGGCTCACAGTAGCCCCGCTTCCCTCCAACAGACTTACGCCTCGGCCCAGCAGCAGAACCAACACGCGCCCCAACCACATTCAGCCCGTCATCATCACCACCAGAAGCAGAGGAGCTACGACGTTATCAGTACGGTCGACGATCTGGGACCTCTTCCCCACGGCTGGGAACAGGCACGCACACCCGAGGGTCAAATCTACTTTCTCAAGTGAGTACTAGCAACCTTAGCCTTACGAGCAACCACGACTCCCATCCCCCATCCCCCATCCACCATCCACCATCCACCATCCCCCATCCCCCATCCCCCATCCCCCATCCACCATCCACCCTATCATCCCCATTGGCGATCGAGCCGATTTCTACTGTCGTATCGATGCCAGTCATATGCGACCAATCGCACTTCAATTATCGAGCGCGAATAGACAATCGCGACTTTTCGGCAATTAGAATGTCATCTTGTAATCGTCTCTAAGCCGTTTTTCTTAAGTCGATCATCCGCGGGACGATTCATGCACGCGAATGAAAAATGTACTCGAAATTGGCTATGAACTCGAAAATTTTGACTGTTCTTTATGCGTCGTGAAAAGAGCAAAAGACATCGCTGCATTTAATTCCTTTCAATCCCTGTCAATGTTGTCCCGTTAAATCATCCATCCTTCCTCTCTACGACCCACGAAAACTCATCATTATGAAAATGTGACAATAATGGTGCTAACAACAATTACTCATACTTGTGTTAATATTATTTTACTCTGCTTTTACCGTACTTAATTTGCCGATGTAACAGCGTCAAAACATTGACATTCGTATTCCTTTAAGCAAATAGCCATGCTTGTCGCTTTAAAATTGACAAAGTGAATTTGAAAAAGCGCAAATACTTATGGTGAAACGTAATCGAATAACAGTTTTCAAACAGGACACAAATAAAATGACAATTCCTACTTAAGATTATAATCCGAATTCCAGTAGCTAATAAATACCTCGTTATCTGTATTAGACTTAACATGTGGCTTCATTAAAAACGATCGACCGTTTTGCTTTATGAAATTAAATTATATTAATTACGTACGAGCAATCACTTTTATGGGAGTGTAAGGATATATTTTATGGATATATTAAATTTCATAGGTATTAGGATAGAAACAACCGAAAAAAATTCCTTTGGTACTCGAAATAAGTTACTGTTAAAGAGCCCCGAAGATTTAAATATATTTCGAGCATAAATTCTGATTCTCTTTATTTTCATATTGTACATATCCATGAATCGCGGCCTGTTCTACTTTTCAAAAACAAAAAAAAAACAAAACAAAAAAAAAACAAAAAAAAATACCCAACGGTCGAAATTTGAGCTTCCTCGATAAAAACTATGTATGTATGTAGGAAAAATACTATTCTTAATTAAACTATGAAATACAAGAACTTGTTTAAAAAAATACATCCGATTTTATAAAACAACATGTACATTATATTATTAATAATATGCATAAAAGAATGTTTTGTTTCAGTGTTTAGTACACAATATACGTATATTTATGCATACATACATACATACACACCGCCACACACACACAGACACACACACACATATAATTCGTATCTAAAAATCTGACTTACGGATTATACAGTTATCCGAAAGTACATTCTTTGAAAAGTGCAATCATTGTATATCAATCGATTTTTAATCACTTATCATTTCACCACGATTTCAATCGATTTTTAATCACTTATCATTTCACATATCCATTTACGTACATATGAGCACAGATTAATTTATTAATATAAAATATTACAAGTAAAGCTATTTTTTGTTGTACAGTCGGTAAAGCAGATTACACGAAGAGGTTCGATTTCATGAAATCTCCCTAAACATATTATAAAGGACACTTCCGCCACTTATTTTAAATTAAATATTGTACACGCTATATCATATATATATATATATATTAGTGTGAATCTAGAAATGAATATAGAAATTTTATTGCATTTTATTATAATTAACACGTAAATATGAAACATTTTAGTTTGTCTTGCATAATTAAGAATAAAATAATGATAAGATTATGTAAAGACTCAATTATTTCTTGACAAGAAACAAAAAAAAAGTATGCATTGTCATAAATGTAAAAAAACTGCCTCATTAGCTAAAAATATCATATTTAAAAGTTCGTTTCCAAATTTTATGTTTCGCTATAATTATGAAGACATCGTTATTCTCATTTCATTTTATTTGATAGCTTTTTAAATGTAAACAAAATATTTTTACATTGCTTATAATTAAATTTTTTTAGATAATCCATTTTTAATATTGATGCTAAACAATAATTTGTCGTTTTAATAGAAAAATAAAAAGCAGGTTTATTTATAATGAGGAAGAAAGTATGAAATTTCGACACTACTGCACCATTTGGCATTGTGAGCTAAAGTTAAATTTGAATCATCGTAATACTATAATTTTTAATATCATATAATCCATCATATGATGTAGGCAAACACAATACGCAATTTGACTATTCAAATATGCCTCAAAAATTAAAATTTATGCATCTTGATGTAAGATTTCCATATATTTTTATTATTGAATTTAATTAAAATTGTTTCTAATTTCATATGTATAAACAGGTTTATATGTAGTCAAAAATAAAAAAAAAATATATGAAATAGAATGTTTGGGTATTGATAGAGTATAAGGTATATCTGATTAATGTTCCGCATTAATCAGGAATTAAATTAAATTGAAATGGATAAATACTAATTAATATAATGGACATGATTATACACAGAATTATGCATATTATATTACACAGAATTAAACAGAATAATTGTAAAAAAACAAAAAAAAAAAGGTGTGGTTGTTTATTATTTGTAATGTTTACAAGGGATGTAATTAATCCTTTCATATTTCAATACATTTTATAACAACTTACATTACTTTCGAGAATAATGTTTGAAATTTAATTATATGTAATAACCGATGGCCAATTGGAACACATGTTTCTCTTTGGTACTACGTTTATGCAATTTTTATTGCATTTATTGCAATTTTTACGAGACTTTCTAAATTTGAGCTCAGCAGTGCAAAATATATAATGTTTTATTATTTAAAGTGAAAAATCTAATCGATTTATAAAATATCTTAATGTCTCATTAAGTCCCATTGAAAAGCAAATCGGTTCATCGAATTAAATTAAAAAAACAATGGTCTTCAGAACTTTTATGGATTCATATTCATCACACGAAGCCATTTAAAAATAATATTAATATTTCATTACTATTGCGCATTGCGAATGGTATTGTTTTTTTTCTGTCGCCGGAACCGAAGAATATCGGTATTTTTAACCTTATTCTTTATGCTGAACGCCAAGGTCTTTTTGCTTTTAAGCAATTCTCTGCCCATCGAGTAATTAATTTATCGATTAAATTCGCCATTTCCTATAAAATGCGCGCTTACGTTATGTATAAGTAAGATGACTCTATCTCACGTAATTTTTAATAGAAAATGACTTTCACCGATTGGAGCAAGTGAGATTCGCTATCTCAGTAAATAAACAATTGTCGCAACTTGTTGTGATTATTTGTAAATTAGACCTATGTAGATGAGCACTTGAAAGATCTCGGACAGTCAGAATTTTGACTCATAAATTCGAGGATCAGAAGGAACAGCAGCGTGTCGAATAGTATTAAGCCAGTGTTATTGGCCTTATACAGAAACATTATCCTACTCGTTAAAGCAGTAGCAGCGCTTTTCGTAACTTTTGAATCTTTCGCTCAGCTTCCGCAACGATACTTATCGATCCACAATAATCGAGAGGACGCCCATAACGCAGTGCTCGGCATTTGAGTCGCAGACGAAGGGATAATCGGCCAAGACCTATGGGAAAATCGACCAAGGCCTATGGGAAAATCGTCGTGGGGACGGGCGCAAGTAAGGGGGAGGCAGCTAAGAGCGCGCGAAGGAAAAAGGCCACTTGGAAAAATTGAGGCGGAACAATGACCCTCGGCGGATGACTCACGACGCCTCGTCTACGTCAATCACGCGCGACAAGTTTTTCGACAACGCGCGCCTTCTCTCCCCCCCCCCGTCCCCCCTCTCCGCCGACCCAGCTAGACCAACCCCCCCCCCCCGGTCCCCCCTCTCCGCCGACCCAGCTAGACCAAGACCAGCACGGGTGGCTCCGTTTTAGGCGCGCCGGATTTCCCCGGCCGGATGCGCACCTGTTGCTCGGGGAGGCCGATAACGGCGTTTGGTGACCTCACGGTGGACTGGAGTCAAGGGCGCGGCTGCCGAGGGGAGCTCCCGAGACGCCGACAGCGCCGCCCCGCGGCTGCGCATCAACCCCCGCAGCGTTGAATCCACCTGTGACTCTCCCACGTGTCACCTGTCGTGGGAAACTCCGTGAGTGTGTCGTCGCGCCGTCTAAGCAGAGCCGCTACCACCGCCTCCTCACCTTCACCTCCTTCGCCTTCGCCCCTTCCCCCCTTTTCACCTCGCCCGCGCGTCCGCTACGCCCACTCGCTTTACCTGTTGCTCTCGTCCTTTATGCTCCCTCCTGTTGCCCCTCCTTCGCTTACCCCGCGCTACCACTTTTGTGATTTCTCCCACCCCTCGAGCGGCTTAACGAGCCCGCCACGAACCACCAGTTGCAGCCGCCCCCGCTCGCCGAGTCGACCGAAACCTCGGGGAGGACCGAATCGAGTAGCCGCGGAGCGCTTTTTACCCAGTTCTTTTTTGCCTCTCGCTCTTCTTTTCATGAATTTCCGATGTGGATCTTTGCTTTTCATTAGAACCTCCTTCCTCCTAATTCACCTTTCGGTCTTCGCTCACTTTCCTTTATGCTCGCTAACCGCTCGCTCGAACCCTCGTCTCCCCTTCATTACATGAGCAACTCGAGTATTTATTTCTTCCTATCTGCAATTAGAAATCGCTTAGACGATATTACACATTCCATTTATCCTTGTAGATCGATGGCCAAAGTTTGCCTTTTCAAATCCTCATCTCGAACCATGAAAATTAAAAAGCCTTCGCGCGCGGGCGCTCGGTCCTTGGCTGTGCAGCGAACTCGTATCGCAAATACGTCCATTCAGCACAAGCATCTATCTTTCGGGAAAAAGAAAAAAAAAAAAAAAAAAAACGGTGACGATTACACTTTGCCAATTAAAGGGAACAACGATGCTTTTCGAACATTGGTTTTGAATACAATGACATTACTT